TGGGCAGGCCCCCCCAGCTCCCACTCTTGCCCCACAGACATAACAGCACGCAGCTGAGGCTAGCTGTTTACACGGGGCCCAATCCTGTTTGGGACTTGGGTTCACATTTAAGCTTTGTTTACAGATTTCAGTGTCACTTTCCAGGCTCTGAAGTACAAGAAAATACCACTATATCCAGGGTCTTGGGGCACCCTCTGCTGGTCCCCCCACAGCTGATAATCAGACAGCCCTTCCTCACAGCGGCCATGCATAAACCAGCCAACAAAAGCGGCTGCATTCCAAGCGGAGGGGACAGACAAAGACAAAGACAAAGTGGGGAAAGGAATGCTGCCTTCAGCCTCCCAGGGAGGGAGCGCAGCCCAAGGCCGTGGAGAATGCTGGGCGGCCAAGCCCCCAGGCAGCACCCCAGAGAGGATACAGCAGCTGGACTGGAAAAATGACACCCCTTGGAGGACAGGAGGAAGGTGTGAATCAGGGGAGAAAGACCCCTCCTTCCCTCTCCATCCTGATGCCACTACATTCCCTCCCCACTAAAAGAGAAACTCCACCAACTGTTTGCAATCTAGGGCTTATGACACACTGGGGTGCAGTTTCAATGCCATCCAAGGGAGGGCAGCGTGCAGACTTTCACCATTCCAGTATCTGAGGCCAGAGTTGCAGGCTGTTCCCTGTTTAAAGTTAAACCTGTAGTGTCTTATATCACACCCCTGGCTTGCAGATCTCTCTCCCCCAAAAACAGAGCAATTCCCACAAGCTCATGCATGCCACAACTCACCCCAGGGTGGAAGGGTGCAGGTAAGTGACGCAGGGAACCAGATGTGCTTTAAGGCTTGATTCTTCTAGAACCACTGGGTGGGACTCAGGGTTTGCTCCCCTGCGTGAGGCTCACGCTGCCTCCCAAGTTCATGTCTGCTGGGCTGCCTTGGCCCTGATGCAGAACTGACCCTTTTAAGGCGAGTGCGAGCAGCGGCTGAGCACGAAGAGCTGATATGCCTCTATGCAGCAGGGCTTAACACAATAATGTGAGCGGCTGCCAGCTGTGCTCAGCCACATCCCCACAACTGAACTGAGGGGGAGGGAGAAGGACCAAAAGAGTCCAATCCTATCTGGCAGCACATAAAGACAGGGACACAATGCTTGTGACAGAGAAGGCCATGGACTGACAGTGGCACACAAGTGGTAAAGAGCAGCATGCTCTCCTCTCTCTTAGAGGGGATGTTCTCAAGGGGGCACAAGGGGCAGTGAAGGGATTCAGGTAGAGCAGAGGGAACAAGGCAGGGGCCTGACCCATGTTAATCACTAAGTCAGCCAGCCACAGAACACCCTCTGATGTCAGTGGAGCTTGAATGCCACCTCCCACACTTGACACCTTCCAGAGTAGGCTTTAGGCCAGCAGTTCTTAACCTTTTTAAAACTTGAAGCACCCCTTGATAGACTCAAGACACCACTCAGAAAAGGTCAGCTTTGTTTTCACTTGGGTTTTGAGTGCAGAAAGATAAAATAGCATTTTTCTGTTGCAAAGGACTCAGAAAGACCACAATAACTCAGTATGTTTTTTAACATTGTGGATTCCTATTTGAAATCTCTGGGTTTATACTGTGAATTAGGTTTGCACACCTAACAGTCCTAACAACACATGGCAACCCATGGCATGGCAATCCAGGGTGCTTTAGGCACTCCACATTTCTCAACCCTACAAAGCCCTATTCCACCCTATATAGCCATGCTGCAGCAGGGCAGTACAATAACATGGGGAGGGTGAATCAGGGCTGCCTTGTCACCTTGATTGATTAACACTGCATTTGGGCAGCAGCGCTAGTGCTAAGCCTGGGGAATGCCAGCATGCTTTCTGAAGCCTCTTGGAGAGCATCAAGACATGCAGCTGTAAATCAAATGGACGAGTCTGCTCCTCTCCAGCTTGAGAGCAGCTTCTCCTTACAAGAAGTGAGCAGCCAGGCATCACTGTTACAAAGCAGTTACCACAGTCAATATTTGTTTTACAGTGGCATCAAAGCCCCTTTGTGGTTCCAGTCTAAGACAGTGCCTGGGAAGGAGAAAGTGCTTTGACTAGGGATATCCAGCACATCAATGGCAGAGGCAAGGACACAACCAGGCCTCCTAACTCCCTGACTGATGCTCTGTCCACCAAACGCCTCCCATGACTACATCTGCCTGGGGGCCTCCTGCAGTTGCAACCCATCTCCGAAGCCAGCAAGCAGCTTCCCTCCATCCAGATGCAATCAGGCCCTCCCATGCCAAGACTCAGACCTCCAGCAAAGGAAGCCCTCCAAGCCCATTAGCACAGAGAGCCGAGTCAGTGTCCGTTTCCCCAGAATCCCATGCAGTTGTGGTGTCTGTCCAGATCTCCTATGGCTCCATGGAGGTGCAGAGGCTCCCAGATGGGCAGCTTCCTCCAGGCTGCTCAGGGCTACTTGATTTCAAGGGCTGTTTCTCACCAAGATGGGAGAAAGGGAAATTCCTAAATACAAGAACTTAATTAAGGCAGAGGCAAGTGTGAAGTCCAATTAATATTCCCTCTCACCTCCTAAGCCTGTACCAGCAAAGCTCTACACCTTGGAACCCCTGTAACAAGCATGAAGCTGTTTGAGTACAAACAACACAGGTGTAGCACCAACCCTGACCAGGCCAGCTCTGGGTACCTCAGTGTCTCTTTGTCCAGGACAGTTCACACAGCCTGGCTCAGCTACCATGTCTCTGCCCTCAGACTAAATAATTATCACAGCAAAAAAAAAGTCCACCACTTCCAGGAACCCAAAACAAACACACAGGACTTCCCACCCTGAGCCTCAGAACTGGAGCTGGCCTCTCCTTCCCAAGAGTCCATCATCTCCTCTCAGCCCAGGACCTGCTCTCTATAAGAAGCCCCATAACTCCTAAAGCATCTCTCCACCTAGGAAGGCTGGATTTAGCCATGTGACCTGACTATCAGGTATTTGTTCATTGTCCTCGTGGAGAGGTGAGCTAACTTTGTCACAGATAGGACCAAACCCATTATCCCTTAAAGGGTCAGTCCTTATGGTGAAAAGAGAGCTAGGATGAGCTCTGTCTGCCTCCATCAACAAGTTGTACCCTGACACATAGATATACTGGGCAAATTGTTTTAGTTGAAACTTTTCTTCTTGGAAAAAAAAGCAAATCCAGCACCAGGCATTTGAATCCTGGTCACTTTTGCCAAACTGGCCATTCTAAAAAAAGGAAGCAAGATTCAAAGGAACAGAAACCTATGGATTTTCCAATTCTAACATACTTTCTTTCAGTTTCCTGTGAACATATTCTGAGAAATATTTAGCAATGTCAAAAATATCCCTGCTTGAAATCAAAGCAAAATGTTGTGTCTTGGGTCAAACAAAATGTTTCACTTGATATAAAACTTGTCAGCTTTTCAATTTGCCGAAAAATTTCATTTGGCTTCATCCAGAACAAATGGGTTTGGTTTTTGTTTTGAATAATTGAAAAATTATCCCCTTCTCTCCTAGCTCTAACGTGCATGATGCTTGCTAGCTCCCTCCTGCAAAAAAAGGCAGTAGCTTTGATGTCTACATAGGTTTCATATACATTCATTGTATCAACAATCTATGTTGTTCACTAAGTCCAGAGCACAAATGATTCTGACACCTATCAATCCCATGGTTAAGGGCCTGTTGCTGGTCACCACTTAGGCAAGTATCTGATAGCTTGGTGACCTCTAATGGATCTGTACCACTTACTGCAAAAAGGAGTCCAGGCTGAGCTTTATGACTACTGACCAGGCCCTGCACTGAGCTGCATGACTTCCCTATGAGGGACTGTCATCCTCAATTTACGATTGGGGAAACTGAGGCACAGAGCACTGAACAATATGTCAAAGGGGACAGTGGGAGTCTGCAGTGGAGCTGTGAACTGAACTGTCATCTCTTCTGTCCTAAGCTACTGTCCCATCTGCTAGTACAGGCTTTGTCTTGTACAGAGCCTGGTAGAAGCAACAACAGTTTGGCCATAGGCCCCTTTAAAGGAGACAGCATGTTCTCCAGTTGTCCTAGAAGCAGACTGGGGTTCAGACATTCCCCCCACCACAGGGTGGGACTGGCGCTACCTGGAGCAGCACATGCCCCCTGGTATGCCAGTACACCTGTGGTGGCTGGGGCGTTTGAGGTACTGGCAAATTTCAGCCCATTCCTTCCTCCTCTCCACTCATGCACACAGGGAATGTAGCTGCCCCTCAAAGGCTGCCCTGCTGTCTGTTCTGCTATCCATGGTGATGATGACAGACCTGACTTATGCTCCTTTACTCCTGTGCAGGATGGACTGGTCAGTTTGCAGATGGCCGCTACTAGCTCTCCTCTGCACTAGGCTGAGGTCCCATGCCAGCAGCCTGGCTGGGCTTCCCAGGACACTGGCACAACAGCCAGAGGACAGCTCTGCAGCAAGGCATGTGGGGTTACATCCCACGTGCTCTTGAACAAATAGAGGCCACCAACACTAGCCTAGGAAGCCCCACTGCCAAACTCCAATGCTTTGGGTCTCCAGCCCCAGCCTCCCAGTGCCACCCACCACCACTGACTGTGCATTTTAAGTCCCCCCTCCTACCCCTCACCCAACCTTGGTGCCCAATTCGTGGCTGATTAATCTGCAACAGCCCCAGCTGGGAAGTCCAGGCTTTTTAGCTCATGCTCTAAGCAATTATGATCCACAACATACAAGGATGGCTACTAGCATGCCCAGCCTCCAGGCTCCCTAGACCAAATGACCGTCCGTGTACCTATTTACTGATGGGTCAGCTAGGCTCAGGTCTGGCATAACTCTAGAGAAGGGCTCCAACTCAGCCCCTGGAGCCGTGGGAAGATATCTTCACTTCTCTACCACCAATTTCTGGGGGGAGGTAGAAGGGAAGGAAAGGAGAGATCACAAAATAACTCCTGACATAAGCAAGTATCTGCTCAAGGAATCTGCTCATTCCAGGAAAACCAGCTTTCTTCAGGGAGCCCCCACACCACAGATGACGCAGCACAGGGAGGAGCTGCATTTGCTGGAGGGAAAGAACTAATGTCTCTGCCACCGTCAGTCAGATGCACTGTGACCCAGGCAGTGAGGTGCAGTGAGATCCAGGCCACTGGCTGTCCAGGCCCAGCTCTATTCCTAGCCTCTCACTGCATTTCCCTGTGTAAGTTACTTCCTTTCTCTGTGCCTCAGTTTGCTCCATGGGGGATAGGCCCCTCCCTATGGATGAGAGGGGCTGTGGGATCTTAGCATGAGTAACTGGTGCCTCTTGAATCTGGGGGGGCACCTGCAGAAGCCGCCTATGGTGTCGGCCCTGTCAGGGGGGGCACTAGCTCTACCGACAGCATCAGTGTCGGCCGTTGGGGGGACTGCCGGTCCCATCACGGGGGGCACGTGAACCCCCGTGCACCCCCTACCAGTCGCCTATGGATCTTAGGGTGTAAACATGTTTAGAACGATTATGGGATTGGTGCTCCCAGGACAATATGTTCCTGCCTGCTCTTGCAGTCAGTCTGTCTGTTTCCACCTGCTGTCTTTTGTTTTAATCTTAACTGGTGAACTGGTTGGAGCAGGGACTGGCCTTTTGTTTCATGTCTGCACAGCACCTAACACAATAGGACTCTGGCCTGTGACTGGGGCTCTGAGGCACTGGTGAAACACAACTCATCCTATGTGGATGCTCTTCAGCAAGGCCTGCTCTCCACTTGTCATGTCATTCCAGTTCAATATGGTCCCACAGCCTCGATCATCTAGAGGATGCAATTTAAAAACAGATGGACCTCCTTCAACTTCTTCTTCATACATGCAAACTAAGGTCAGGGTGACATCAGTGCGTGCAAAGGAGAGCTGAATTTGGCCCATGCATGAGGCTAGGGTTGCCAAGCCTCTCCCTCCCCAACCAGAGTTGATGCAAAGCATTCCCTTTTGCAGTAT